GGGTCCGTCGGCTCCTTCGGCGCATTCGCGTTGTCGCGCGAGTCGCGGCAGAAGCGCAGCAGCAGAGCCGCCACGCCCACAAGCAGCAGACCGCCAACGACGCCGCCGACGATGGTGCCGATCAGCTGCGGTCGCGTCAGTCCGCGCGCAGCGGGCTTCGCGTACTCCATCGTCGGGGTCACGGCGGGGTCCAGCGCACGGGCAAGCGACCACACAGAAATGCGCGTCGCCCCGTAGTTCTTGCCGCACCCAGCACCGCCGGCCACAGCCGCAGCGCACGCCGTGCCGTTAAAGAATGAACCGTACAGCATGTCCTTCGCGGTGACGGCAACGTTGTTGTAGAAGAAGTCTGTCAGCAGCGCAGCGCTCACCTTGTCCATGCGCGAGAGAACCGTCCGCAGCAGCTGCGTGGCAGCGAAGCCCATCAGCGCCAGCGGCGTCCGTTGCGTGGCGTTGGGCACGGCGGCGAAGAACTCCCGGGCGGTCTCCGACGTCGAGTTCGCGTCGTCCCAGTGCGGCAGGCTCGTCGCAAACACGACGCGGTCAACGCCACCGAACGCGGCAACGAAGTCGGCGTGCAGCAGCACAAACTCGGAGAACGCGACGAACACGCGCACGCCGTCGTGCAACGCCACGTGCCGCGCCACCGCAGCGACGTCGCCGGCCGCAAGGCCCGCCACGAACACGTCGCCCGCCTCCGGAAGGTGCCCCGCCACCGCGTCGCCGCTGGCCAGCAGCGTCGCGGACCGCAGCGACCCGCCAAACGTCACCAGCGACCGCCGCAGCACCTCCGCCACCGCCGCCGCCTCCTCGCCGCGGATCACCGCGTGCGCCGCGCGGACACCCGCGTCCCGGAGGTACTCCGCAAGCACGAAGAACTGCTGCTCCAGCGTCGGCGACAGGTGGATCACGTGCCGACGGAACCTGTTCAGCCGCGGCTCGAGCTGCAGCGGGTCGAGGAAGGCCACACTCCCCACGCCCAGCATCGCCTCCGTCACAACACCCACAACCCCATGAACCCGCCGTGACTGCAGCTCCGACCGCAGGGCGTCGCGGGCATGAGCAAGAGAGGTGGGAAGCGAGGCCATGTTGATCTCAGGTTCATCCCACGAGGCCATAAGGCTGGCAATTGCCGCAAGAAATCCGGTGTGGAGCTCTACAACCGCACGTTGTGCAACAGCGCTATCATTCATTATAAAATCCACCCCAATAAACACCGACGGTATGGGCGTCTTTGAATTATGACAACTTGACAAGCTGAACGTCGTGAGGCCCTCGGCAACCGCCTGCGCTCGGAGGCCCTTCACGAACCGCTTCATGTACACCGTGCGGCCGCCCTGGTTGCAGCGGCAGGTGGCCCCCGTGCTGCAGCCTCGTCTTCGCACTCACCACCGTAGTCGCCAATCACAAGTTCGTCGATTAAATACCGGCGTTGGTTGAAGAGAGACTCCATGAACGACTTGCGGTCCCTCACTCCTTTACAGTCGCTCAGCGCCTGCGCCAGCACCTCGCCGGCAATCCACCCATCAACCATCAGCTCCCCGTCGCCGTCATTATTGAGGAAATGCTCCGTGTCGTTGTAGTCCGTCTGCCCGCTGTTCTCCAGGTAATCCCGCATCACCGCCTGGAGACGCTGGATGGCGTCGTACGTTGCGTCCCTCGCCAGCGGGTTCGTCCCCGTCGCGAACACCTGCCCGGGCACAAACTTGACACCATCATCGGCCACGGCAGCACCCCATATGCGCAGAACAGTTGGGTGCACCGCCGAGGGAGCCAGCAGGTACGCGCCGGCGGTGCGATCGTCCCTCAGCATCCTCGTAACGAATTGCGCGGTGTCTGCCTGCGGCGAGCCAAACACAATCACAGCCTGCGGCCGAGTCGCGGCAAACCGCTCCCACGCATCGTCGAACTCGTTAGGGTCGGCCTCACCACTCGAAGCGGTTTTCACGGCGAAGACGCCGCAGAACTCGTAGCCCATCTTCGACATCACATCTTGGGCCTGCTCATACTCCGTTCTACCTTAAAAATCACCCTGCAGGTACATGAAGCCCAGCCGAAGCACCCGCAGCTGAGCCACGGCGTAGCGGAGAAGCGCCAGCAGCTCGGACTTAGGGCCGGCGCGCAAGAAGTACACATGGGGGTTCCACCCACGCACCGCACTCGACCTAGTGAACGGGGCGAAAGAGACGAGGTCATGGCGAGGCAAGACCGAAAGCGCACTCATAATGAAAGCATCATCAAACTGGGCCAGAAGAACGAGAATGTCCTTTTCTTTCTGCAGCACGTCCTCCAGAACGGTGGCGTAGTTGTCCAGCTTCGCTTCCCTTTCGACAACCTCAACGCGAACGTCGTCCTCAGCCGTGGAGCTGTGCGCCATCAGCGACGCATGCACGCCGGCGTAAAACGCAGTGGAGATAGGGTCGGCTTTGGTGGAAAAACTTGGCTTCAACATCAAAATCTTCACTGGGGTGCCAAGAGCTGCGGCTTTGGCGGCTGCGCTGTGCGGGGGCAACGGAAGCAGCAGCAGCAGAAGGACGAGGAGAAGGAGGCACAGCGACGCCGCAGAGGGCCACGAGCCAAAGTGCGCTCTGCAGCCNCGCCGCCCCAACACACCGCCATCTCACCGCTGCCTTGTG